CACACACACACACACACACACACACACACACACACACACACACACACACACACACACACACACACACAATCAGTTCTATGTATGTTAGTCTTTTCTCCGGTTGTCTGTCCTCTCGAGTTTTTTTCTAAGTAGTTTTCTATCCCCTACTGAGCACCCTTAAGTAGTGCCAAACGGTCGGTGGTTCCTCGTTTGGAGTGCCAACTGCACTCTTAGGGGGGCCGCTCGATTCGGGATGTTTGTGTTGCCTGTAGGTGATGACGGATGCTCGTCGGAGTGTCTCCCTGGCTCAGTGGGTGGTGGGAACCAACAGTCTGTGGGGTTAACCCGTGATGTGAGTAGGTCATGTGCTGCTTTGCTCCGTGTTGGATGTGTGGACGTCCTCGTCTGCGCTCCGCCGCTGCCCTGCTGCCTGTCCCGCTTGCCTCGCATGTGGTTCTTTGCAGGTTGATGTGTTCGTTGTGCGGTGTGGCCGTGTTGTTGGTGTTGCCTTGTGCTTCGCTGCTCCGCTGCCGTGCTGCTCATCTGCTGGCCGTGCCTTCCGTAGTTGTTGTGCAGCCGTGTTGCCTCTACTGTGTTGCCTGGTGGTGCTCCACAGGGTTGTCGTCCGCTGCTATGTTCCGCTTAGGGGCAGTCTGCCTTCAACAAGGGTCAAAGGGTTCATGACCCAAACCATCAAATACAGAGACTCCGCAGATTGTCGAGGGTTCAGCCTCCTGATGAGTCGGTGCAATTCCGACGAAACAATCTTGTCATCATCTGATTTTGTCTTATTTTTTTCAGTTGTTGTCTGTTTTATGCTTGGATTTTTTTTTGTGCTGTTTTTGCATGGTCGTTGTTTGTCTGGCTGCTGTTTCCCTTACTGCTTTATGCTGTTTGCTTGCCCATTCACCCACCCCGTGCCTTTCACCCAGTGTGCTTTGTTGTTTGTGCTGTTTGCCTTGTGTCGTTTGTTTGCCCACCCACCTCCCCCGTGCCCTCCATCCTGTGTCCCTTGTTGTGGCTTGTCATTCTATGCCTTGCTGGTTGTGTCTTCTCGATCTTTCGGGCTTGGGATTGTATGTTTTTTCTGTCTTCTGTATGCTTAGTGGACTTGCAGTGCTACTTTAAGGGTTGTCTATTGATTTCACTCACTCAGATGTGTGTTTCCTCTTGAAGTCTATTGTATAGGATGAACAATGTGATGGGGTCCTTTTGGAGGTTATCCTGTGATGTGACAATGATTTGGAGTACACATTCGTTATGTACTGAGGAACCCTCAATATGTGTTCACACACATCGACACACACACACACACACACACAAACACACACGCACACACACACAATCTGCCACACGTCTTAGGTCTTCATTTCAGTCTGCGGACGATTTCCAGCTTCCTAGAACTGTCTTCAGATTGCACATCGCCGCTTTTAACAGAATCTGAAATTCTGGGACGCTGCCCCATCTAGCAAGGCTATAGGTTCGGCTGTCATGATTGCGAGGGATAGGGTTCTCACCTCCCACACATCGACCACATCTTTGTTAAGTAAGGTGACACCTTCAAACGAACGCTAAGAAGAAGAGGGGGAGAGGTGGAGAGGGGGGAGGGGGAGGGGGAGGGGGAGAGGGGGGGGAAGAAGAAGAGGGACAAAATTAATGATTTTTGTGGTAGAAATATGGTGCTCTATGTGGGTAATGTAGACTTCTATTTTATGTTAAGTGACCTATCTACTCACGCAAGGGCCAAGTCTCTAGGCCTGGCTGGGCTAAGTGATGGTCGGTGTGAACGGGGTGAGGTTTCAAGCTAGGATTTGTTTTTTGAGAAGTGAGGTGTGACCCGTTGTTGTTATTTTTCCGGGATAAGTGTGTGGTAAGAATTGAACCCATGACGGATTGTCAGGCCTAAGTGATGGTCGGTGTGAACGGGGTGAGGTTTCGAGCTAGGATTTGTTTTTTGAGAAGTGAGGTGTGACCCGTTGTTGTTGTTTTTCCGGGATAAGTGTGTGGTAAGAATTGAACCCATGACGGATTGTTAGCTTTTTTTAAGTTTAATAATGATTGGAGACATAGGTGTTGTCTGAATGAAGTTTGAACTCAGGCTTGGTGCCTGACAGAGTGAGTTTGATTTTCGAGGTTGACTGTTCGAGGGGTACCCTGGCATCGGACTAGCGTTTTTAAGACAAATTTTCTATCTAGTGTCTATGTTTCGGTCCAGGTACAATAATGTTTCTAGATTCCTTAACACTTAGGTCCATTAGCTTATTGTTGGTTCTCTGCTTTGTTCGATGGATACGACTTGAGAAGTGCGTCGACATTTTTTTGGGAGATCGGTGTGTTGCGGTGTTTTCATGGACGTAAGTGGTACGCTCGTTAGTATTTAGGGAAGTAGGAGTGTCAGTCCATGTCACCGAGTACGGAAGACCCCTGATGATCCTGGTTGGCGGCCAGGTGAAACCAGTAGGGTCATACGCCATGTTGTGCTTCATGTTCAATTTTTTTTTAAAAGTCGTGTTCGGGACATGGGTTATCGCTCTCTGGTTTTCTTCTTACCTCCACTGGTTGACTTTTTTCTTCTTCTTTCTTCTTCTTGTTCTTCTTCATCATCATCTTCTTCTTCTTCTTCTCCTTCTTCCTCATCATCCCTCTTCTATTATCTCTCCTCATTTCATCTTCATTCGCGTTCGTTTTATTGTCGTAGCATATGCTCGATATACTTTTTACTCACGGAGGAACCGACGTAGGAGTTACACTACCGTCGAGTGACTTCGCACTTCACGATGGCGAGCAACGATCAGAATGGTGATACTAGATCATGTTACAACTGTGGTCAGCGAGGCCACATCTCCCGGTTTTGTCCGTTCCCGGATCGTCGTCTGAATACTAACAATGCAGTAGGTGCGGTGGCCCCACTCCTCACGTTACCTGCGAGTGGTGGCTCTAACGTAGGTTCAGTCACTCCTTGTTACGGGGGTCAGTCCGGTGGTAGTGGCTGGCTTGGGAAGAGGGTTTATACTTTGGATGAGAAGGTCACCAAGATTTATGAAAAGCATGAGGCTGATGAGGCAAGGAGAGGGATGCGAAAGAGGCGGAGGAACATAGACAGTGCGTGGTGGCAGAAGAAGAAAGGTGCTTGCGTGAAAAAAGAGAACATGAGGAATTCCAAAAGTCAATGAAGCAAGAGCTTACAGAGAGTCTTGACAAGGTGTACAAAGCGATTGACGGCAAGAAAGTTTGTGAAGGTGATGAGGTGGCAGTATTGAAAGCAGCCGTTCATGATATGCAGCGAAGACTCAATGGCTCGGGTACGTCTTCGGGTAATGTGACTGCTAGTAGTGATGAGTTGTCTCGGGTTCGGCGGGAGCAGCACGAGATGAAGTTGGCGGCTGACAAGCGGTTGTCCGCTCTTGAAGACATTGTGCTTGCGTTGTAGAGACAATGTGAGGAGGCGGAGACTAATGCTGAGAAGTGGAAAACTGAGGCATTATGCCCTGGCAACAAACGAGGCAGCATTGCGATTGAGTCTACTCCAACTACGAATGGGAGAGTTCGGGCTCGTATGACGTCGGGGGAGTCTTCGAAGAGGCACATTGAGGTGGGCCTGAAAGGAATTGTGGAGCATCATCAGATGGAAGTGCAGACTTTGCAGGCTCTGCGTATCAGCGAGATGAATGCGCGTAAGGAATCGGAGGTTGAGATTGATAAGTTGAAGGAATCACTTGCTCGATTGGAGATGGAGAAGTGCACGGGGGTGAAAGGGACTAACCTTAAGTCAAAAATGGATGAAGTCGCCGGTAGAAGAGATGATACCAATGAACCAGGACCGTCGGGTCGAAAGAACAAGGAGAAGTCGGTACCTAATCCTGCTATGCAGGCTGTTGATAAGGATGCGTTCGCTGTGGCCAATCGACGAGATCTACGAGGGAAAAACAAGGAACTGATTATGTCAATTTGCAAGAACGAAGGTGTGGTGTACACCATGCTGGAACCAACGAAGGAGGCGATAGTTCACGCAAGGTTGGCGAAGGCTTTCGGTGTGGAACCCGGGAAGAACGATAAAGGAAAGGGCGTTTTACCTGTTGAAGTGTCTGATGATGGTAATGAATCGAACGTTCGGGAGGACCATGATGATGAGACCGTGTCTTAGCATCCCTCCCGAACACGGCTTCTTTGTGGAAATTAGTGCGTCTCTGCTGCAGGCTTCGTTCTTTATCCTCTGAACTGCTTCGGTGTGGTGCGTTCACTAGACTTCTATGCTTTGCACTATTTGGACTGATTCTGGCTGGAGAGGTCGCGTGGGGAATTAAGTTTATTGACTTCTTCTTGTCTGCGGTGAGTGGCTATGGGGGTAGCGAGGAGTTTTGGGAAGGACCTGTTGTGTATGGTTTGTTTTCTCCTTGGACCAGACATGTGTACATCGGGAGTACCGGTAGAGATGTCCTAAAGAGATGGAAAGAACATGTGTACCGTGCTTGTCAGTCCGCGAAGAGTGATGGTTGTCGACGCAATGAACGCTTGTATAAGTGGCTTCGGAGGTGTGGTGTCCATTCCTATGTGATAATTCCATTGTTTAGGTGTCTTCCGGAATATCTGCGTGACACAAAGCGGTTTTTTATTAGGTTTTTCTCGCCGGCGTTGAATACTCGGGATAAACCACGTAGGTCAAAGAGAACGAGACCGGAACTAAGGGAGAGGTTAAGGAGAAAGGCTAAGTGTGGAGTTGTTGGTTCTTCTGTGGCAGCTAAACGCAAGTCTGTTGGGTCTCTGGTTACGTTTCATTCCAATGTGGGGGTCGTCTCTTCGAGCTTGCTTAAAGTGCTGGAATTATGCCGAGTTAACTCTGTGCATAGTGTGGTAATTGTGTATGTTGGTGGTGATCGGTTTGTCGATAGATGGAAGGTGGCCAGACGACTATTTGGCGGCAGTTTGGTCTCTTGTGCCTACGGGCGTGTTGAGTTGCGTCATGCTGCAGGATGGCTGAAGGGTGGTGTCACGTTGACTATTGAACGGGTTGTTCCTTTTCTAAGCCGCTCTTTATCTTTCAAAGCACCGCTTGCTGGTTTCCTTAGTAACCCTGAGAGTCGGCGTGCGCTTCGAACTTGGGATCTGGAGCAGTTAATTGCGAAATATAATGCTATTCGAACGTTTGGGGAGAAGCGAACACGGTTTCGGTTGCGATGTCTCGTTTCTCAGACTGTGCTTTCTAGATTCGGGCTGCATGTGAGAAAACGGTTGTGCTGTCGAATTGTTTACATGGACGTTGTCTCTAAGGCTAAGGTCAGTCAGGTGTGCTCGGTGATTGTTTCGTCCTTGGACATTTCGAGAGGGTGGAAGGATATGCTCGTCAGGCGGATGCGTATTATATGGTGTCGTAATCGCACTGTTGGGGATATTATAAATAACTTTCGTGAGTTTTCCAAGATTAGTGTTTACGAGTGCAGTTGTGGTGATTGTGATCCCTCTTTTCCCAGGGTTGACGGGCATGTATCTTCTCGTCTGAATGAGTCTGAGTTGTTTCCGAAGTGGATGAAGAATTCAAAGAATGTCCTGCGGCCTTCTCGTCGACATCTTCCTTCTACTCTGCGTGCTCAAATTTTTGCGGCTTTCTCCTCGCATCCCTCTATTCCTGAGTTTGACCATGGTGTGCTGTCTGATGAACTGATTCGGGGTTGCTTTTCTGAGAGAATGTCAGGTTAAATGACGATTGGTGAGGACGATTTGTCTCCATTTCTCTCTCTTCTTGAAGGTCTTGTTCGCGTCCCCATTGACCACAATATGGGAGATACGCTGGTGTGATGTCCTCTTGTCTAGCAACAAGGCATGCAGAAACTCTTTACAGAGAATACAACTTTTTCACTGGTTCAGCCAGATGAACAGGTGTTGTTGAAGGCGTGTGCGACACCTGTTCATCTGGCTGAACCAGTGAAAGGTGAGTATGTGGAAAAAAACGGGTACTCTCGGGAGAGCATATTGTATTCCGAAGCATAAGGATACTTCCAGGTGGAGGCCGATCTACCCATCATATCCTGAGTGTTCTGCGAAGGGAGGGAAGATTATTTCCAAGGCGGTTAACTGTTTGTTGTGGAGCCTGATGATTGAATCGAACTTGAATTTGCGAAGTGCTGATGAGTTGCTTAAGAGGGTCAGAATGATCAATGAAAGCTTGAAAGAAGGAGATTGTCTAGTCGGTGCGTCTTTTGATGTCAAAGAGATGTTTTCAAACCTTCCCCATCCGTCAATTATTGGTGCTCTGTTGTGGGCGATTGACTTCTGCACTGATAAAGGGGTTCGAGGTATTGCGGTGAAGAAGCAGGGGAAAGGTGCTAAGTTACTGCGGGGTAAGATTGAACTGGGTTGGTTATCTGTTCCCTTGGAGACTGTTCTTGCTTTCGTGAAATTTGAATTGGAACATACCTTTGTCTCGACGTCTGGGTTAATTCTTCGGCAGACCTTGGGAATCCCGATGGGAAAGTCTTCTAGTCCAGCCCTTGCCTGCTTGTTGTGCTCTTATAATGAGTTCGTTTTCTTGACTAGCCTCGGTGTAGATAGGAAGTTCTTTCGAGGTTTTCGTTTGGTCGATGATGTGTCAATTTTTGTGATAATCAAGAAGAAAGGTGGGATTGAGAGGTATAGAGCGGAGCAGATGATCCGGCTATTCGAGGGTTGCTATGACAAGAACCTCGTTCTTGAGAAGACGAACGAAGGGACTGTATGGTCGTACCTGGGATGCATTTTGGGTGCCCGGGGAGATGATTCTGGAATTGTGTGTTGTCCCACCATCAAGAACCTGTTAAGCGGAGGGGGTGATGATTTGGTTTTTCAGAGTATACAAGATTTTTCATCTTACTCTAATCTTCAACAAAAGTCCGTTGTTATCTGCTCCTTTCTGTATCGTGCGAAGATGTACTCTACCAATGATGAGTTGACTTTTCCTCTCCTTGTGTCCCTCAAGTATGAGTTGTGGAAGTAGAGCCTTGCTGCATTTCTCAAGGAAGCATGGGGGGTTGTGGAAGAGGTGGTTGCGGCTGCTCACCAGGTGGGATCGTTTTTTACGATGAGGGTTTTTTTCTGTTCTCGGTTTGTGAGTAATTGAACAGGGGCGTGTCTGGCTTCCTTTCGTTTTAGAAGGGTATGTGTGCGCAAGTGTTGTTGACCATTTTGTTAGACTCGGATTATTTAGAATAACGCGATGATGGTTCCCAGGCATAATATTAACATTGAGTTTTTGAAAATGTCTTTTAGGGGGTTAATGATGAAGATTGATGTCTATTGGAAAGTAGGGTATGAGCTGAAGAGGGTTTCGAACTTGGGATTGTCTTTTATGATATGACAGCGGGTTGTGGTGAGTGTGATGAGGTTTCGAACTTGGGCCTGTTTTATGGAGCGTCAGTAAGAGGTGTGATATGTGATGTGCGTTTGTTGGTTCGGGTAAGGCATGGGGTAGAATTTGAACCCAATGCGTATGGATAGCGGATTTTGAGTTGAGTGATGGTTGGTGTGAACGGGGTGAGGTCTCGAGCTAGGATTTGTTTTTTGAGAAGTGAGGTGTGACCCGTTGTTGTTATTTTTCCGGGATAAGTGTGTGGTAAGAATTGAACCAATGACGGATTGTTAGCCTTTTTGAAGTTTAATAATGATCGGAGACATAGGTGTTGTCTGAACGAAGTTTGAACTCAGGCTTGGTGCCTGACAGAGTGAGTTTGATTTTCGAGGTTGATGGTTCGAGGGGTACCCTGGCATCGGACTAGCGTTTTTAAGACAAATCTTCTATCTAGTGTCTATGTTCCGGTCCAGGTACAATAATGTTTCTAGATTCCTTAGCGGTTAGGTCCATTAGCTTATTATTGGTTCTTTGCTTTGTTCGATGGATACGACTTGAGAAGTGCGTCGGCATTTTTTTGGGAGATCGGTGTGTTGCGGTGTTTTCATGGACATAAGTGGTACGCTCGTTAGTATTTAGGGAAGTAGGAGTGTCAGTCAATGTCACCGAGTACGGAAGACCCCTGATGATCCTGGTTGGCGGTCAGGTGAAACCGGTAGGGTCATACGCCATGTCGTGCTTCATGTTCAATTTTTTCTAAAAAGTCGTGTTCGGACATGGGTTATCGCTCTCTGGTTTTCTTCTTACCTCCACTGGTTGACTTTTTTCTTCTTCTTTTTTTTTTTTTTTCTTCTTCTTCTTCTTCTTCTTCTTCTTCTTCTTCTTNTTTTTTTTTTTTTTTTTTCTTCTTCTTCTTCTTCTTCTTCTTCTTCTTCTTCTTCTTCTTCTTCTTCTTCTTCTTCTTCTCCTTCTTCCTCCTCATCCCTCTTCTGTTATCTCTCCTGGTTTCATCTTCATTCGTGTTCGCTTTATTGTCGTAGCATATGCTCGATATACTGACTGGGCTAACCCTGTAGAGTCTGGTTTAGGCTTTGCCATGCAAGTTAAGGGTTAGTTGTATAATATAGGCTCCGCAATTTCAGGCATGACATTTTTCACGCTCGCCCAAGTGTAGGTTTGGGAATGCTTAGTGTGCCACAATAGCTTCAGGACTCAGAAGACGAGGGGTTCTTTTTTCTTTTTTCTTTTCTTTTCTTTTTTAACTCCTAACTCTTCAAAAACGTTTTTGTGAGTCGCGGTAAAAGAATCAAGATTTTTTTGGAGTTGCGGTATAAAAAAAAAAAAAAAAAAAAAAAAACTTCGAGGTGTGTGCGGTGGTATAAAAAGAAAAAGAAAAAAAAGAAGGTGTGTGTGGTGGTAAATAAAAACAGAAAAAAAAAAGGTGTGTGTGGTGGTTAAGAAAAAAAAAGTGTGTGTGGTGGGAAAAAAACAGAAAAAGAGGTGTGCGGTGTAACGGCCAATGCATGTAATTTTCTGGAAAAGTGACGATCAATATGCGTCCGAAGTTGGGGCCATAGTCACAATATAGCATTGTCCTAAATTTACCTGACCCTGATGAAGGCCCAAGCGGGATGCATTTGACTTCAATCACGTCCAGAAACCTATATAAACGAATTTCAGATTCACTCTGCCTCACTCTGTTCTTACTTATGGTTCGAACCCGGTTATTTTTTTGGTGTTGAATTGCCAGGTCCCTCCGTGGTTCAAGTCCCATTTACCCTGGTTGCAACCTCAACCTCAGCCTGAGTATAAAATAGGCAGCAAACACAACGAGAATTTTTTTTTTGTTGATCGCCCCTGGGCAAAACCTTGCTCAAATTTCCACCCC